TCCTCTATTATAAAGCCAGTTGACCTATGAAAAGCCCGTTGATAAGGACAGACGTGAAAAAGTAGATATTTGACCAAGATTAGATGAAACGCCAGACGCCTTAGCAAAGATCGATGAACTCGCAATCAAATAGCGTCTTTGCAAGTTGTTGGGACTCAAAAAAGCCAGAAAGAAGAGATGGATGAGAAACAAAATGTAGAAAACGAAACACATGACAGAGAGCTAAGAGTCAAGTGCAATTAAATCATCAACTGATTTAAAAATCAATCACATCAGATCAATGCAGAGACATGAGCTGTGCTGGAGACACAATCGTCATTGTGAGGAGAAAGAAAAGGACAACTGCTTTTGCTGCCCAAGCACAGATCCTTGGGTTCTAATGACACAGAGAGCGAATACATTACCAGTTGAGTTCCATTGCGAATTCCACGCAGCACAATACTGCTATGTCCTCCTCCTCCTCCTCCGCCTCCACTGCCACTTCCACTTCCAGTGCTGACGTCACTATCACGCCGACGGCTCACTCGGCGCCGGCTGGCGACACTGCCTGTGGTGGTGCCACTCAGGCCAGAGCCGGCTTGAAGGGTAACCAGCAACATGACTACAGAATGAGGTGGACACTAAACTTTCACATAAAGCACTCAGTGTCTTCGGTTAAAGTAATAAACGTGTTGGAGATCCGGTGCAGCAAAAAGTAGATGGTGATGATGATTCGACGAAAAGGCAGTAAAGTAGGGAAAGGCACAAATGCCAAAAGAGGAGAAGAGTTATCGGTGGGAGAGAAAAATTGAGAGCGTTTTGATCACCGGACACTACGATGGACAATTTCATTTGACTAAAAAGGGCATTTGACATTGCCAGCTGAAGTATAACGCCGACAACTCTAAAAAGATTACTGTTGTGCTCTGAATGAGTTAAAAATTGTTCACAAGTAACATTGACAGTGATGAACTGATTGGTCAAAAACTAAGTGAAATAGTTCAAAAATACATTCACAGAACTTGATAATTCACCAAAAAGCGCTGCTGGTAAGCTACATTAGAAGGTTGCGATTAAGGATAAATAAACAAAAATAAAGATTCGAGTAAACATTATTTGCAAGACACAAACACATATCAGTAGATAAAAAGATAATAATGTGTAAGGAAAGTGTGATCACAGTTCAAAAATCGGGTTAGGCGTACAAAACGATCAGCAATGGCCAAGTTACGCAAATAAAACGTGTCTTTGGGCCAAGCTGGATGGCTGAGGATTTTGATACCGACGAGCAAATCAGTTATGTTTTGATGGCTGCTGAAGAAGATATGAAAGCACTAGTCTCGAAGAGTAAAGCAGCGACTGTGGTCGACTGTGCTGTAGTCTGTGAAGTGAAGTGCAAGTTCGCTTTCATGTGAGGTCTGTGTGAATGGAGTTCGTCCCATCTTCGTATATAAACATGGCAATGGCGATACAGTTAATTAGAGGAACACAAAGACAGCACGTAGGACGCAGACGGGGAAGGCAGCTCTCCACTGAGGCAGAGGCAATGGCTCCAGTGCTAAGGCGAACATTCGGATGGAAAGCGGGAACTAGTCTCTCCCTTTGAAGAGGGAGAGAGAGAGCACTCTCAGCAACAACCTGTTTGCTTACACTGCTTCCACCGAAAATATTGCCACAGAGAAGATATCATCAGATCAACTAAAGCGCACTCTCAGAGAGTTCTGGTGAAGTAGGGGAAGCTTCAAGCTGAACAGGTGGAAGTGTGCAAACCGGATTCAGGGCTGGTACAGCACTAAACCAGGCTCACGCAGGACAGGTGAAGTGCCCAAAGAGAAAGAGAAATCAAGTTGATTGCTGAAATACAATAGCTGGTAAAAGCAGTGACAATTAATAAAGTGATGTGCTGTGGATTTTCGGGTAATTTTATAATGATAAGTCGTATACTATGAGGAAGATTACTAGATTCAAGAAAGTGCCAACAGTAGTGTGCTCAAAGAAATGAACAATATTCTGCAATAGAAAGTTAAGAAAAGTCCTCACGAGCACTTCGGAGTAAAGTGAAAAGACAGTGACTAGTGGTCGAGAGAAAGGGATAACGGTGTCAGTGGTGTGCCTCTTTAAAGCCAAGTCATTTTAACTGACAGTTGAGCAAAACCATCACACAGAGCAGTGTTTTTCTATTTTGGTGACACACACACACAACCGGCATGATAGCAATCACAATCGATTTGCCAGACAGTACAGCTCCTGACTACGTACTAGTGGCACTAGTTGTAGAGGGAAAACACTTGTACACATTAACACCACTACACAAGACCCCGCTAATCCAAAAAAAATCATCAAGAAGAGTACTGTGGGAAGGCGAAGATAATAAGTGCAAGTGATGAGCAACACTGGCAGCAGAGTGAAGTACAGCCAAGGGGGTACACACCACTACGCCGTGACAGACCATGCAGGGCACTCGTTGGGCGCCTAAATTCGGCCATAGCGAGATTACAGCACTGGGGGAATGAGAGAAAAGTGGCAATTGTCAAAGCTAAATGAACAGATGAGCAAAAGTGGTTTCAACGCCACTGACTCTGCTGGTTAGAAGCCAGGAAAACCATCTTGGTAATTAGAACCGAGAGATTGCCAAAGTAGGAAGCTTAGATGCTAAAAGTAATAATAAAAAGAATGAGCGTTAAATGCAGATATGCAGTATCAGCTAGACTTAATGGTAGAAAAGACCGTACTTCCTACTACTTAAAACAGTCCAAAGTCAAGAGGAAAAACAATTAAAAACGATTAGTTGTGCCATCAAATAGGAAAAAATATGTTATAAATTGAACTGTAAACTGTATTTACTTGGGCAACAAAAACTACACGATCACACAATTTTTACCCTAAAATTTCAAACAACTTTCGGTTTAACAAACATGGCATTTTAATTAGAGACATTTCAGTTAACTATTGTGCAAATTACTAAAAACGAATGATTGCAACGACTAAAAGCAATCACCACCGAAAATGAGCTTGTTTGAAAATTTACTTTTTTGCTGTTTTTCAAACTGACCAGGTAGCTCAGCTTCAGCACGATATATAGCCTGTGTTCTCTTATGAAACTATGGCAATGGCTGAAAACTGGTAGTATTACAGACCACCTAAGCAAAGCTTTGAAGGGCAGTAGTCCGAAACGGTTGTCAATTGAACCAGGAAGATTGGTGGCGATTTAGGGGACAACAAATACACTGTGATTGCCAGAATGGAACTACTTGTGCGGCCGCTGTTGCAGCTGCTGGGCTTGTTTGGTCTGTGTGCATGATTGGAGTTGAAGTGCATGTGCCTGTCAACAGTGCAATCAGGCATATCGTTGAGACATGAATCATCAGTAGGAATGAAGAGTGAATATACAGTTAGACAATTGCTGCTGCCACTACTGCTGCTGCTGATTCGTCACTCACTTCCTTCGGATGACAGCCACAGAGCCACACACACACACACACACGAAACAAAGGTTATCCTCGGCATTGAGGTAAGAGCGGCATGCCCAGTGATAGCCCAGTCTGCCTGCAGAGATCGTCATCTCATCTCATCTTATGCACACACTTACACACGAGGCAGCATCATCATCAGCAGTAGCAACAGCAGCAGCAGCACTGCAACTCCATCAACGAGAATGAGCCTGTTATTACGGTTGTGCCATTACGTCATGGGTACTTGTTTTGCGGTGTGCAAAGGTACAAACTCGATTCGTGCGTGCAGACAAACAGTCAGCCTGCCAAGATGGCGAGCACTCTTTGTCCCAGGCAAATGACGAAGATGTCCCGGAAGAAAAAATGAGACAAAACATCGCACAAATGCTTCAATTCCAGTGCCAAATTGGCTCATTTCCAAGTGCAGTACTTGGTTATGCAATTTAGTAACGGAAGTAAAATAAAACACACTGTGTTTAGCGGAAACAATGAAAAAGTGTCAAGTAGACCCTTAAGTGACCCATTCAATTTTTATTGACGACCCACACCAGGGCCTAATAAGTTGGTTTTACTAAAAATGGCAAATGAAGTATTTAAAAATATTTAAATGAAAAAGTAAAAGTGGTTTTTTACTTTGATTAAAGAAAGCAACAAAATAAAAACCAAAGTACTTGAAGCACACGACAATTTAAGTAGCCTCAGGTATACCAACAATTTATGCTGCCATAATTTGGCTTGACAACAGTTCATTTGTGACTTACTAACCCTAACTTTGCCCAAACTCAACTATCACTATCACCAACTCGAACATCAACATCAACAGGCACATTAAACGGATGTCATAGCGAGAAAACGACGACACAGTGACTGCTATGCCACACACACCCAACCTTTCACCAAATCTGGGTGTCAGTCAGACAATCATTTCTGAAATAAACAACCATTGATAGAACTAATGAGTAAACAGTCTGATCAAACACGGATATGAAAAGTAGATGAAACGTGAAATCGAGGCAAAATTGCCCAGTGGAGATTCCAACTGACTCTGAGTGCAGTAATTATCACAAGCAAACGCTGGCTGTCTCCTCGCCAGTGACATAGAAGAAGTGTTGCTGCCGGGAAGAGACATGACGAGTCAGTAAGTTGGCAAAACGCAAATACGATAAGTGTGATTTGGCATAATCTAGAAAACTGGCGCCAAGTTTGCATCAGTAGAGCGCAAACAAATGTCCTCTCATTGAAGCCCCTTGCTTCATCAAGTTCAATACGAGCTATCCACGACAAGAGCCTTCAGCTTTGCTTGTCTTCAATATAAAAGAAAAAGCGAAAAAAGAGTGATTATTAGATCTGTACTTAATTGGCTGCAAACCGATAAAGCATAACGACGCGACAATCTTGTCGCAGCCAACCTAAAATAGAGGCAGAGAGCACACTTTTTCGGTGTGTAAATTGAGTTCGGGTATTGTTGCTACTAGCAATCAAGTGGCAGAAGTGAAAGAGAGTCTGTTTTGTGAAGTGAGCTGAATTGGCCAAGCTAAATTTAGGAGCATTTCAAAGCACAAAACCTACCTGTTCGGTTGGCACCGATTCATGTACGGTTTGCAACGGAGTTCGCACACTGGCAGCCATTGTGATGATTTGGCGGAGAACAGACGAGCTGATTATGCCAGCAAAGTGAATCAATCAATCAATTAGAGTAGCTGAATCAATAGCAGTGGTATTGATTCAGTTGATCAATTATCAGTAGAGACACAAAGCGGCAATGTCAGCCAGAGATTGGTGCAGTAGAGGAAACGCCTGGTTCAGTACTACGCTGATTTGAGGTGAAGGAGTTGGCCAATGTTAGGCGAGATTCAGTATTTGGGACGAGAGCGTCAAACTGCGTTGAAAAGTCGTAAGCTTTGTTGACAATTTTTTCAATCAAAGAGATCACAGTGAACGTGCCCTTGGTTGATGAAGGTGTTGCTTCTATGAACGTTTAAAAAGAAGTTTAAAAGCCGAGAATCACTTCGGCACACTTGTACACAAATATAATAGTGATAAAACGTAGATAAATTGACCACCAACAAACTCTGAGATGAAACAACAAGCCTGCTTGAAGGTACCAGTCGTGAAGAAAACCAAAATAAAGTACTTGGTGATGAAAGCAGTTGATGGTTACGAAGAAGTTGGATATATTATCACATAAGTGTTCTTTGCAGCTGAGAATAATAACTTATTCCAAAATCATTGCCGATTAAAGAATAAAATATCACAATATAAAAATGAAGATTGCTGTAGAATGGTGGCGCCGGTATTAATCCGTGTATACGAAACGTGATTGATTCTACAAAAAAGAATCTTTAGTAAACGTTTGACAAAATGAATGATTGAGATTTTGAGCAGTACCGTTTTTTCCAGTATAAAATGATGATACCAAAAACGCACTCTGAACCTGGCTAATACTTCAATGCAAAATTGTGCGGCTGAATTATTGAAGCATTTAAATGACGTAGAAGATGGAATGGTGATCGAGGTAAGTATTCTAACAAAAGATTTAACAACCAGGTAATTCAATGACGATGATCGAATCTTCAGTCGTTTTTAGACAACGTATTGAAAGATGCATTCGTGCTGAAGCGGTAAATGTGATGTAATTAATAAAGCATTTGAAGCCACAAGCCGAGTTTCTTCAAAAACACAGGCACTTTGCGTCGATGGCCTGTTTTTTGTTTTCGTGGTTTGCTTTGGCCAAGAATTTAGCTACGAGAAGTTTGCTGTGAAATAAAAAGAACGTTAAAGGTCAGTTGAAACTTGAAACTCATCACTGAAGTACATTACTGTCGTTAAGAATTGGACACGCTGTCTCGTTGGGCTGAGAGAAGGCGAAACTGGTATCAAACCCTTGCATAGTTGATGTACAATTCACAAGGAACATTTTGCCGGAGCCAAGCTTCTGAAAACCAAGTACAAGGAGCGGCAACCGAAGCGGCTGATCAGAGGATTGTAGAATTAAAACTGCCGCGTGTGTGTTGTAAAATTGCGCTTCAACTTGAGTGATGTGGGTTGCAAATTGTTTTGGGCATCAGAGGCTTCTATCCACAGAACAACAGAGAACAGTGATTTCATTCACAAAACTCGCAGATTGAAGCAAAGTAGATGATAGTTTGCTTAGGGTCACAGCGATGTTGGTGTGTGCTATTGCTGCTGCTGCTGCTGCTGCTGCTGCTCACGACGGTGATAAAACACAGCTTGATGGTATTGAATAGAGACAACGAGAGAAGAAACGATCAAGAGCGCAATGGCAGCTGTAAGAGGCATAGGAAGCAGAGGATAACTCGCGGCGAGATTGGCAATTGGAGACAGCCGCAGCTGAACACAGTGAATCCAACGGCAACCAGCGCAGACGGCGGCAACCTATATAGAATGGCAGGAATATTCTGCGGTGAGATGGAGGGAGCAAGGAGGCAGACGAAGGCGACGGTCGGCGTTGGACGCGGGCGCAAGGCGACGGCGATAGCCGACTGAGCCGCTCAGAATGTCTCCACTGGATCCACAACATCTACCACTTCTCTCGCCGCCTCTACACTGCTCACTGCTCTCCTGCCGACACACTGACGGGGAGCGGCTAACGCCTGAAACGCTCGCTTTCCTGCCCCTCTCCTTCAAAGGCCCCTTTCCGTAGGTTCATCACCTTCTTCTACCTTCAAAGCAGAGATGTTCTAAAAGGAGATATGCAGATCAACAGCTGAGCTGAAGTTCTAATGAATTTAAAATGTTCGATCTGGGGTTTATTATATTGAAACTCATTGATGAATTCCTTTAATATTTATGTAAAAACAACAAACGTGCAAAATGCTGCAAACTTAAGGCACATTGCTTATCTGCTAAACTAGACATTTAGATTTATTTTAAAGTTTTTTTCGTTTTTTATTTCTTTCTAATCTGTTGAGTAGTTGTTGAGATAAATGTACTTAAAGAACCCATCTAACCTCAACGTTGAAGCACACGCGCAGGAAAGAGAACATTTTAGGAAATGAGTGTCCTTTTCCAAGTTTGTGCACCTTCTCTTAGGGGCAGCTTCGGCGCAGGACGGCCATCTAGTGATCTCGACAAAGCAACCAAGCAATCCAGTGCAATTTTTTCTCAAAACGGGGCCAAGATCAACAACGGAACCGGTCAGTTGGTAATGAAAAAAATAACACCTGAAATACTGAACTTTACTATTAAAAAACGAGTGTTTTTTATCAAGTTATAACCGCACTATTCTGCATTTTATAAACTGCAAAATTTCTGTATATTTAGCGTTTTTGTTTAGTTTTAAAATATTCAAATTTTTATACCGGCAGTAACATTGTTCCACCTTGGAGCAAAACCAAATAAACTTGCACAAAAGTAGTTGTGATTTACATTTTTTAGTACAGGAGCAAGTTTGTTGTCAAAATACTGTCATTTGTTGATCTCAGGAGCACTAGTACCACCTAGCCTAGTACGAGAGCATTGGGCACATATGCTTTGGCAGTGTACAAAGAGTTAATGGCAATAGACAGAGGGAAAGAAAGAGAGAGAGAGAGAGAAAGGCAGGCAGGGAGTCACCCGACGGAGGCATTGTGCGACGGCATGGCCTCCCTATCGAAGTGGCCACGACAACGGCCACACAAAGAACACTGAGCGAGCCTGCTGGAAGGCAGCTGCACTCAACTGAAACCTGCCTGCCACCTTTCCGACGACCTGCCACTGCCGCCTGTGCACTGTCCTCTGCAGAACTGCCCAGGTAAAAGGTAACTAGAGGTGGCCAACGCCGTCTCCCCTCTTCTCGCTGCATTCTCTCTCCTCTCTCCTCTCTCCTCTCTCGCTCTACTGCCTGGAAGCAGTTGCAATGAGTGTACTAGTGGGCACCCACCTTGACGACACCGACGTGCACTGTTGACGGCACTTCGAAAGTGTAGTGGCGCCGCTGGCCAGTCAGCCTGATCGATGTCTCCATCGATGGCACACTGTCACTAGGTGCACATTCGAAGATGCACATCGCAACTGCTGCTGATCGCACCGAGGCACTGAGCAATTTGCATTCAGCGGTGTCTGCCAGCACCGATGATCACCGGACGATGCTGAAGATACTAAAACGCGCACTTCATAGAGTAGAAAAGAGAGAGAAAGAGACTATACCCAGTGAATGCTGACTTTGCTGATAAGCAAATTTAATAAATAGAAGCTTGTTGATGATCGAAGCACAGCAAACAGCTGATAAATGTGCCTGCACTCTCTGCGCTTGCACACCGGGCTAACTCGTAACTCGGTTCGCGTCATCTGAAGTCTAAACCGACTTGATGCGATCTCGTGCCAGTGTCGACAAAGGCTCAACAGATGCCCTTCACTGCAAGCCAGATCTTTTCTGATTCCTTCTTCTTTTTCTCTCTTCCTGACCTACATATTCCTCTTCTTCTTCTTCTTCTTCTTCTCTGGGCGCACAGTGGCACAACTGCCATTCGTCAGTGGCACTGGTGATGCATAACATTCGCTGTCTGGCTGCATCACTTTTCTTTCCTTCCACTCCCTCTCAACTCCTCTCAAAGGCATAGAGTGCTTTTCAAGGCAAAGAGAGCAATAAATGACAATACACTGCACTATTATTGATTCACTGCGAATCGAAAGCCACTTTGAAGTCAGCCCCAGCCAGCCTGACAACCAGTACCAGTCGTTCAACCACGTGAAGTACTTGCTATTTGCATTGCAATAGTAAAAAATTGTAGCTTTGCACTTTGCTCTACTACTCTCTACGACAACCTGTTACGTCTTTTTCTCTTATCTGCTCAACTGATGAGCGTCCGTGTTCTACAGGCACCAGACTAGCTGATGACAGAACTTTAACGACAGAGCGGCATTGGTTTGAGTTGGGCATCCACCTGGTGCCTTGTGGCACTAGGCAACCTGGTCAGCTGTCATGCCGACTGGCGTCATCCTATCAGATACTCAGTTTTACTTTTAGGAAACCTTTGAAGTGCACATAAAGAGAGCAATTACACCCTTGCAATCGGTTCTCCGCTTCTCAACCATTCAGTTTTATCTAAATAGTCCTGGTCATAGTGAAACACACTTCATTGCACTCTGATTTTCTCTTTTACCAGTTGATGCTTGCTCTCTATTTACTTAGTAGCAACACCAGTACAAATTTATTTAAAAGTTAATTTGACCAGTAACTATTTTTCTATCTACAAACAAAAAATTGTGACTGTTATGATATTGTAATAAATCAAATTCCTTCAGTAACTTGATCACTGTGCAATAAAAATGTTTCATTTTATTGAAACCTTTTTTTGCAGTACGCCGTTTCTAGAGAAGTACCTCTTCCTTGCTGAATTCAATGGAAACCCAGATAGAATACGCGTCACAAAAGAAGAAGCATTCTTCATTAGTCACAGTGCGCCTTCACATACGCTGGCTCACATATTCTACAGGGAAAATGTTTTCTCATCGGCCGCTATTTTCGGCTGGTTTCAGCAGTAACCCAACAGTAGCATTTGTTTGCCTTCAATGCCTCAATATTCTTGCATTTCCATTCTTCGGCAATCGACACCGGTTGGCGTCACAGGAAAGCAAAACCGAGAGAGAGAAGAAGAGAGTAAGAGGGTCGACTAGCGGCCTACTGGAACCACTGCACCGCTGCAGTGAGCCCCAAGCGAATAGATAAATTTTTGCCATTGTAGCACTTTCCACAACTGCTCCCAAAGTGCACCCGAGTCGCCCACTAATTGCTGTCTGATTGAGACCAACAATTGACGGCGTTGTGCCTACTTTGCTTCCCTGATGGCTGTCTGCCTGCCAGGCAGCTTGAGGCTCATTTTTGCAATGTTGTCTTTAGGAAGAACACAGCGAGCAGTAGGTGGCTGGGAAGCCAGGCACGACAGAAAGGCATAGCTTTCATTTGCCTCGTTTATATAAAGTTGTCACCCGAACTTGTCGACCAGTCTGTGTATGGTATGTGCTTGAACCAAACGTCGCGATCGATGGCCATCTGCCGTCTGTATTCAAGAGCCTAATGAGGCGAGCCAGTTCACAATTTCGTCTGTTGGGGCAGAGAAAAAGTGAAAAACTGCAGATTAAAAGTATACCAGAGGGGTATTGATTTATTGACAAACTGATGGGACGCAGCCTTAGGTAAGCTCGGACAAGTTTGACTCGCTCTGATGATTGCTATTGAAAGCACTTTAATCGAAATAAACTTAGTCTGAAGAGCAGTTTGACTAACACCGTTTCTCGAACGTTTCTTTTCATTGCCGAACAGTTAAATTTTGATCAAGGGCGAGTCAGTAGGGTGACTGGGCTATTACAGATACAAAAAGAAGGGTTTTTTAAAGCTGGATGCATTTTAATTAGTCCTCTAGCAGGTAGTGTCCGATTTCCTGACAAGCAAACAAACTTTGAACGGATTAGCGCACGCTTTGGCAGTCTCTGACAGTTTGGCAGTTTACGGGAATCAAGATGTGCAGGCGCCGGTGTGCAGCGGTAAACTGAACCTGACTTTGATTGGGAACCGGTTTAAACTTGGTCAACATGCAGTTAATCGAAACACTGCCATTTAGTAGTCACTACTTCTTTTTATCGCTGCTAACAAGAAAGAAGTGACAGAAAAAAAAATTGCGATGATGAAGGAAGAAGCCAAGTTTCTATGCATGGGCAGATTTCCACTTGTCGGGTCGTCGGTGCGACCAAGTGCACCACTGTGCACCTTGGCAGTGGTGAAGTAGTGAACAGTACTCCAGTGTGCCACCTCCACGGTGACCACTGCGCACTGAGAGCAGTGCTAATTGCTAACAGAATTGCTTGCCTTTGTCATTGCACGTTGCATGCGCTCATTAGTGGATCTCTGACAATTTGTCCGGTCATGGTGATTGATTTCAGTGAGCCACTGATTGGTCGGCATTACCGGGCACAATTTCATCAATGTAAGGAGAAGCAAGCCATTACTACTGCAGTACAGTTTGGAAGTGCAGTCTTGAATATAGCCACTACTGCAGTTGAAGGTGCCTGCGACAATGACGGCTAGTGCTTATTTACTGCAAGGTAGCCGCAAATGAGTGTGTGTATGCATGTGGTGTCGCATTTGCAAGTGGCAGTTTCAGCTGGTAGAACCGGAAAAGCAATGCCCACTACAGGTTGGAGATCAAGTTTGTCGAACCTTCATCTCGATCGTCAAGAAAGGGGGGCAGCACGGGTACCACTCGTTTCTGACTATCTGTCTGCGGTGGCGGTCATACACTTGTGTGACTGCGAAGGGGGCAATTGCCCAGACTCTGTAGACTGTGTCTGCCTGCCTTCACTGCCCTTCAGGAAATGCAATGATCGGAGAAAGTAGTGCTCCGTAGTCTGCTCTTTGGTGTGCTCAGAGCAGACTGACTGCGGTGATCAGCACCAGATTGGCCAGCAGTGACCACTGGTGCCGTCTTGCACTTTGAAGCCAAAGAAGTACCCGCAAACAGGCAGCAACCTGTTTATTGTTATGGCTGTCGCCAGTGCACTGCCAAGTTTTTCCCTTTCCTTTCTTCTTTTTTTCAACTGTGGGGGCTGATGAGCACTGATGGCTTGTGGTAATGTGCTCTCTCTTCTCAGCTGCTGCTGGTTCGAATGCTGTTGCTGCTCGGCAATGATCGTGCCACCGAGGAAAGAGATTCACCAGCACCGTCTTTTCTTTCCTCTCGTACCCCCTCTTCTTCTCTCTCATTATCGTTATTACTGACTGGGGTAAAGTGTTTGGGCGGTGATGCGCTGACTCATGTCACTTCATGTCATCCGTGGGATTCCTTTCCTTTTGCCAAAAACTAGAGACGTTCCATTGTGGCCAAACCAGTGCTGTGTGCTTTTGAAAATAGCTGTTTTTCATGGATTAATGCATTTCCACTTTTAAGTGCTTCCACCAGTGTCACCGCTAAACCTGCTCAATCAAACAAAAATCAATTTTAAATCCGGCTCAATAAACAAGGCGCTACCTTGTGTCACAAACAATAAGCTTTGAGTTCAAAAATGGCAAAACTGTAATCTCCTGATGTGTAGAATGACAAGTTTGCTTTATTTATGGTAGAATTGCACTGTTTGTATAACAGTTAGTATAGGAGAAAGTAGTGCATCAAAGTGTCAGCTTCAACACTAAATATTACAAATGCATATGGTTACATTATAATGCAAAGTTAAAACTCTGTCTGTATATGAAGTATGACCAAGTGATAATGATAGGTAGTATGAGGTAATATGAAGTGAAAAGGCGAAACGTGCAAGAGGGTAATAAGGCTAGTTGACATATTATAGCAGGAACCGTGTGCAAGACAAACAGACGCTCCTATTTTAAAATGCCTTTTTGTAGTGAGCTGTTTTTGATGGTTGAATGATACTGAGGAAACTGAAAAAACAACCTGAGCTAAATGTATATGAGCTTGATGATAAGCATTAAAAATCAACAAATAAAAATAAAAATCAAACAAAAAATTGACACAATTTAATGTATACACAATCTACAAATAATACATGCTGTTGTTAACCTTGAATTTATGGGGATGAAAATGTGGTTTTTAAAGATGTTGTTTCGTTTCATATTAAAAATATAAAATTAATGCAATTAATCTTCCTTCTCAGTGTGCACTTTTTTAAGAAAAGGAATTCTGAAAGAGTAAATTAGTTAGATATATTTTTAATTTAGTTGCACAACGATAAACTTACTTGTCGCTGATTTCAGCAATTTTACTGTTTGCCAGTTCCAGGTATTGGTCAATCTGAGCTTTGTTTTGCTCATAAACCTTGGGAAGCGAGAAAGCAGCAATGTACGCCAACAGAATTAGAGTCAGGCCGTTGAACCAGCCACCGATGTAGGTGAGAGCCCAAAAGATGAGAAGATACTGTCGAAAAAAGGTATTAATAAAAACGAAAACTTTGTCAACCAGAGTAAATGGCAAACCTTCAGTGAATCGACGATGTCCTCAACAAGAAGAATACTTCGCATTCGGTTGATGAAGCAGGTACCATGCGCAACAACCGTGTCGACTATCTCATGAATTCGATCAGGGGATGGCGTGATTTCGATTTCGAGGTAGTCTCTGTTTCATATTTTAAGTAAGTTTAAAGTTATAATTGGTTTCAGTTTTTTTAGAAACACTACAAAACTCACTTGAACGGATGTCCATCATTGGTTTTCTGAACAGCTTGCATAACATTCTTGTAAATTCGGAAAGATAAAGTGCCAAGAAGGGTAAAGAGAAGAGAGTATGCGACGACTGAGATGACCGAGAAAATGGAGAGTGACAGGAGAATCACCAAGCCAGCGCCAAAGACAATGCCGGTGTTTTTAGGGTCACGCCAGTAGACGAGTTCAGCAACTGTAGAAAAAAATGTACAGGTGTTACTTAATTGTAATGCAAAGTCAATGCTCATAAACATCAGGTTTGCTTTAATTTTCAAAAGAGTATTTCTGTTTTTCTACACAATTCAACTTATTTCCTTACTCAATGGCACAGTCAAGTTAAAGAGCACACTAGAAAACAAAAATACGGAAAACTTTGCTTTAAATGTGACAGTTGCCAACTTTTCGAGTACATGTCTACTGAGACAAACAGCCGGCAAACAAGGAAAATTTCCCCAAAGCCCAAATGCACGATAAGAAATGGTAAACGTTCATTTTCCTCCTAGCCTGTTTGCTCAAATTTGCAAAGTACTTATGCTGTAATATTTTGAAATCTATTTAACAGCTAACAAAAAAAATCAGCAGTAGATGCTGCGCAAAACGCTATATAAAGGTTGTATTCCATTAAAAGACGGTAAAGTGATCCAGAAACGCATTTTAACTACAAGTTCATTGACATGCAAGAAGGAGGTTGTTGTAACCAATCATTTCGCAGAATGACTTAAACTAAAACCAGCAAAAACTAACGCGGAAGGCCTTGTGTGTGTGGAGTGAGAAGCACTGTGTGCTGGACCAGCACTGGTCACTCTATATAGCTCTCTAGAGCTTTGTAATGCCTGTTTGGTAATGAAAACGGTCGTCATGGTTAAAACATAAACCAAAAGTGACAATCAAGTGATTTTCAGGTGATTGGACAACCGAGTTTATTACAAAAATTATGAAAAATGGAGTAAAACGATTAAACTAAGACATACCATGAACGAGAAAAGAATGGTAAAGCTCTGTTAGAGACCCCTTGCAACAAGAGTTGCTTTTGCTGGTGGAAGGAGTGGTGGAAACGATGTCGGCAAATTCCTCCATTTTTCAGAAACAAACAGTTGAAATTGTAAAGCAAAATGTAAAGCGGAAAGATGAACTGAATGAACTGCAGACAATTGAGAGAAACAGAAATCTGTGACTTTGCAGTCTAGTAAAGGTGAGTAGAGAGACACCAAAACTGTACAGTCATTGACAGAGAGCTAATGATGACTGCTCAATCGATTCGAACACACCAACGGCAGACGGCCGGCAAGCTGCAGAAGATGGGGAGTGATGAAAAGGAACAGCGAACAGTGGGAAAAAAGCAGTTGACAGAGAGTGGAGATTACAACGACCACTTGTTCAGGAGGGCTTGGAGCTTTATACAACACACACAGACACACTCACGAAGACGTCAAACGTCGAAAGGAAGATTGTGGTGCAATGAAGTATAGTAGCGACGAAGACAAACCAGATAGTATGTTTGTAGAGGTAGTGTGACGCTATTCAATCATGACGACATGCACGCCAACAGCACTTCTCTAGCGGACTGGCGACAAGCGCTGGGAGAGAGAAAAGGGGAGAGAAAAAGAGAGTTCGCTGACTCGAGATGATACTGGAAGGGAGGCAAAGTCCAGGGGCCAAATGGTGCAGAATGACCAGGAGGGCAAAGGGCTCAGGTGAAGTAGTACGCGACCACTGAAAAGAGGCGCCAAATGCTTGGATGACAACAACAAACAGCTTCTCTCACATCAGAGGTTCGAGCGCTGGTGGCGAATGGCAGCTACGTATGAGGGTGCGCCGCGGACAGCGGAGGAAGTGGCACAGTGCAAGGCAGAGACCGGACAACCAGCAGAGGAGGAGGAGGAGGAGGAGGAGGGAAAAGATCATGCGCGTCAGATGGCCACTGATTCAAGTGACTCAAATGGCGTTTGAATGGAACACTGCAAGTGGAAGCGATGTTCCCGCCAGAATGGAACACTCACTGACAAGCACACAGGACAAGCACTGACAGGCATTACGAGCCCACTCTGCACCCGTCCTGCAATGGGCGCAATCGATCAGGCGGGATAGATGGTAGAGGAGACACACTACTGCTATTGCAGAAGGCGTTCTCAGCACTACCACTGACGGCCGACAATTGGGAGTGCTCTCGAAATGGATCACTGATTATGCGACAGGTATTTCTGGTTAGCTTAGAGTAGCTAGTATAATCTGCCTCACTGCCAAGCGGAACGACTTGCTAAGAGTCCGATTATCTGCAAAGACATATGGCTAACACTCCGAGTAATGAGAAGCGCTAACAAGAAGCGCCTTCATCTCATTAGGAGCAAGGGTCGTCAACTGCAATGAAAAGGATATCACCACACTGGCAGTCAGCTGTAGTAGCCTGATACGATCCAGGAAAACAAACAAATAGCATAAACAGAGAGGAAGAGAGAGAGAGAGAGAGAGAGAGAGAGAAACAGGACATCTGGGTATATAGCAATAGCAGAGCTCCGAGAGGACGGGCACTGAAAGTGCTGGGCATTGTTGGGCAATGGTCTCAACCAGAGTGGAGTCATCACCATTGGGAGTCACACCCTGATCTGATGACTCATCCTCAGGGGGTAGGACTGCTGTGGGAGAGGGGATGTGGTGGCAGGCATACGTCGCACTCTCAAGTGCGCCCTGTGTCACTCATTCGATTCGGACAGGTGAAGTGAATGGTCATTCAGTGCTATTATTGTCAGCTAATGGACATGACAGCAAGTACAGCTGCGCTCAGACTGCAACTGCTGCCAGTGGCCTCCAGAGTCGATTGCTTGAAAGGCAGCTGACGATAGGCTAGGGAGAGAGGTTTAAAAAGACAATGCCTGATCAGCAGAGAAATGTGTGCCACAAAAACGCGCCCGACTTCAAATAGCAACTTTTCTAACGATTGAAATGTTGCGTTCACTGCGACATCTCTTGCGTAAGAAGCAAAAGGTACTTTTTTAGAGTGCGAATGAAAGATACAGCTGGATACAAACGGCACTAATGGTGCACTTTATTGGCAACAAAGCAGTCGATCAGAAAAAAAAGAATTTGAGGATGGAAAAACTCGACAGTCGAACAGCCGACAAAAATTGGCAGTCAAACATCCTGCTGCAAAATGCTCTTTGATGTAATCTATTGTTATTTATAGTAATACTTTTCATTTCATTTATATATTTTTTAGCTTTTTACCTAATAAAAATTAATGATAAAATTAAATAGCATGAAAAAACAGATTTAGTTCAGTGCTGTGACATTCTTGGTCATTGATTAGCATTGACCATACGGGTAGACTCTAAATGTAATTTTGTTCTCAATCTGTTAACCAACTGTTAGTTGAAATTAAAGTTTTACAAACACAAAAATAATTTATAGCATTAATAAAAAGTTTAAAAACATCAATATTTGAACTCATAGCAATGTTATCAGAAAGCTAAAGTTTGCAGTTATAACAATCTTGAAAATGAATTGAAGAAGGAAAAACTAAAATACATACTGTTACTATCCATGGCTGAGAAAGGGTGTCAGGAGGACAATAGCACTGCACGTAGACTTGTGACCAGTGGACGTGGAAGAGTTGGCTGATCTGTGACAATAAAAACAACAAGTGAAGGTGCAGTCAAGTCGAGTAAGGTCGAAGCGACAGAAAGGAATGGATGAATGCCGCCGCGCGAATGCAAAGTATGCACCAGCAGTGCGCGAGGCCTAATTAGGGTTAGCGGCAGACGGGTGCGCGCAGGATTCTTGGCGCCATCACTTCGGCTTACGAGCAGCCTATTTATAAACCAGTCTGAGGATTTATGGCAAAGAGAAGAGAGGGAGGGGGCAGAGAACCGACTTCTATTCACAATCAGGTTCCTGGTTGCCACTTCTTTGTGGTGTTGGCACGTACTTCACCGGCAGTACGAGGAAATGATGCTGCTGATGATGAAGGCGGTGAGGAGTACATTAGAGGGGGAGTGGTGTGGGCAAATGGGTGCTGCTGCTGAGTGCAGTTACTGGTGGTAGTAGTGGTGTTGCTCTGTCATAACGCCAAGATGCAATGAATGTCTAGCAGACTAAAGTAGACGCCTAACTTTAGCACAGAAGTGGCGTCAATGCGCCAAAGATTCTAGCAGCTCATATTGTTCAACGGAGAAGTTATGTCACTCGACAAGTTTGCAGACGCTCACAATCCTCTTACAGAGAAGTGGGCATCGGAGAAGACAACAAAACTCAAAAAGATACAAATCAAACATTTAAGAAGAAAACTGCATAACAATTTAAAAAATAATTTTAGTGAAAAGTAATATGCAATTTGCTTTTGGCCCTATTTAATTTTTTTTAAATTATAAAAATAAAACTTAACATTAGATGAATCTGCTCCCTGTGACCATTCAGAACAGTGCATGCGTAACTCTTAGGTATTGTTTTACTTGATTTAATTTAAGTCTGCAGTTTAATGGATTTAGTAAGAAAGGTAACGTGCCGTTATTCCACAGTATGACGCAGTGCAGCGTCACACTACAATGAATTTGTCGTCAAGTGCACAGTGCCGTCAGGTGACAGCAGAATGGCACCAGTCCATCCACTGGACTGCATGGACAACTATGAATCACTTTTTTTACTAGTGCATAGCTCACTCGGCAGGGAAAGTAGGCATTAAGTAGGTGGTGAGTGCTCATGCAAATGCGGTAATGACACTGACAGAGAACAACAACTTGAAGAAAACTGTTATGTTTACACATTTGGAGCACCTGGCACAAAGTATCAAATGTTTACCACGAACAAGTGGCTTTTGAGACAATTACAACAGCATGCTAATTGGACTTTGTCGCTTGTATGACACTTTTTTTCCTGACTCACCACTGAGTGCAATAGTTCATTAAATAGAGCACATTTCATTGAGAAAGCAACAAGTTTAGTGTTAGTTTAGGCAAATAGAGGCGCACACAGCACAATGACATCGAGTTGCTTTTTGTTCCATTTCAGTGGCGCGTAATCGTCATAAAAGTAAATGCTGTTTACTTGTAGGAAATCACTTGCAGTTTAAGTAAATCCAACACAACAGTAGCGAAAGCCACATCAGTGACAAAAAAACATTAACGTACTTAAAACTTTATCTAAACATTTTAGTAGCAAACTAAAAACCTAGTAATTATAAAAACAACAAGTGAACCCAAGTATACAAAAAAGAAAAACAAAATCAAGTAAATTTTAAATAAAAAGTTTACTCATGATAAAAATAAAGTAAAGTGTGTAAAAGTCTGTACAAAGGAAAAACAATTGCCATTACAAAGGAAAAGGAAATCACAATGAAGGAACCAGAATGTTAGTCAGTAATGCCAATGTAACAGTTTAAACTAGTGGCATTGGAAAAGTTTGATCTTGAAATTGGAATTGTAATTAAAATCATACAAGGAATGGTATGCTAACATCATCAAGTTAATACTAATAAAAAGAAAATCTATGTACAATAAAGGAAGTTGTTGAAAGAGAAATGAAGTTAGTTTAAAAAAGGTAGTGAGTAGTGAATGTGTGTGTGTGACTGAGTTGGAGAGAACGAGGTGGCCAAGTGGAAAAATACATTCATTGCTGATTCTCACTGGCAATTAGTCTGATTGGTTAGCTGAGCAGTGTTAGGTCGGTCGGTGAGTTTTGGCCAATTGAGTGCTCTTTGAAGCCAATTGAATAGTGAAGAAATCGGGTGATAATGAGGAAGATGGGGAGGTGAAAGAGTGAACTCTCATTGGCGACAGTGTTTAATGAGCCCAAATGACTTCAAGTAGACCGGTGCAATGAGGCCAAACGACAGACGCCATTACGAAGAGAAGTGATGCTCTCCATTGGCGTTGGCATTGTTGCCGTTGGCGCGACCGATATTGTCTCCGTCTCTACCGTTACTACCCGCCGGTTGGTTGTTGTTCAGCTGCATAAAAATAAGAAACTTCTGAAACATTTCTTGCGTTTCAGGTGTGATGTTCGCAGGTGCTGAGCCTCTGCCGGGAGCAGTGGTGCTTTTTACTGGAGGTGGTGCGTGCTGAGCAGGTGATGGCATCCCGGTCTGCCCGGACATGGGAAGCGCCGAGTTGGGCGGCGTTCTGCCAACCACCGATTGAATGTCTCGACTGACTTGACTCATCGTCTCATTGAGGTACTCAATAATGGGCACGTTGTTCGAGTAGGAAGCACGTTCGTAGATTCGAGCCGCATAAGTAGTTAAGAAGTTCATCTCGTTGATAATGTGCTGGCAGAGGTCAAGCGACACTAAGGAAAAAAAGTAAATGTTAAGCATTTGTTGGACATGATAAAAGAACAATGACTCACGAGGAATTGAGGCAGGATTGGTGAGTGACAGATCAGGACGGTGGTGGTCACTGCCGAGGGGCTGTTGTTGTTGTTGCTGCCAGGGATTGCCTCCCCCAGAGCCGCTGTTGTTGCGCCGTCTGACTGGCGTGTCGCGCCCAATATTGGCAAGGTTGAACTCACTCTTCGAGGAGCGCATTGTCTCTGAGCCCCACAGCCGTCTCCTTGAGACGGGGTGCCCACTGCCGCCTACAACACCTCCCACGCCTCCCTGGCCATTCATCTGCCCTTGGTGCTGCGCAAAGTGTCCATTGGTAAAGGGCTGTCCTGCACTGTTGCCAAGCTGCTGTTGCTGCTGGGCAGAGGAGGCATTGGAGCCACGGCGAATCTGCTTAAGAATGTTTGGCTTCGGCGGTGTGACTGGTCGTGGCCGCAGAGTGCGGTGCTCGTCAGAGTTTTCATCATCCGAGTTGATGGCCGACTCTAGCTCTTCGTCGTCTTCAGTACTGTCGCCGCGTCTCGAGCTGGCGCAGGACACCGTGGCACTGGCCGACTTACGAAACTGGGCTGGAGGTGCGGAGCTACGTCCAGAACGAGGGGTGATCATCATTGAGGGACTATTGGGCTGACCGGCCATGTGCCCGTTCGGTGGCTTCAGCATTGCACCAGGCGCCCCCTGAGGATGGGCCATCATTGGCTGACCACCGCCACCGTTGACTGGAGCCCAGAGGCCCTGGCGACACAGTGTCGATTGCGACCGCATCATGTCCACTTTGTTGAGGTTGGTGGAGCTTGGCGTGCGAGAAAGGGAACCTGAGTTGGCAGCCCCAGGCATTGCACCAGTCCGTCGACTATCCCACAAAGGAGCAAATTGATCTGAAAAGGGAGAAAAAGAAGCTGTTAATGTAACGTTGAATGAGTAAGTGAAAAAGGCCAGTGAAATGCCAAATACAATTGCCAACTGAAAGCACGCAGATGGTCAGTTACTGAGAGCAGATGAACAAATAGAAAAAGATGAAAAATGGTGCGACACACTGCTGAAAGATGAAAATGAATTACCATAAGTTGGCCAACGCCAATTAAAAAAAACTTCTTTTGGCCAAAAGGTAAGCAGAGCACAATAAACAGTGAAGAGTGCAGTTTGAGTCCAAGAGAAAGGATGGTTCGACAAATGACAAAATTAGAGTCAAACCTACACTGTTTTGCAGTTAAAGAGGCAGCACTGAAAGGTCACTATGACGTCGACAATCATTCACTGGCTCGAACAAATATACTTAATATAATAAACTCAAACTATGCATTTCGATGGACTCAAAGGTGAAAACAATTAGGCGCAACAGGCTTGTGTGGTGCTGCAGCAAAAAAAGAGAAGACAAGTAGATTGAAAGGTGAGCTCTGCCTCTTCAAAGTCTACCAGTCAAATGGCAATACAATGTGGACGATTACACGTCGAGACACTCAAAGGAGAAACGGGCGTCAAGGTAAATGCACTAATTGACAGTAATGGAGGAAAAGTAAAGAGTCGTCTAAGCAAAAGAGTCTGCTTGAGAGATGATGAAGATGAAAGAAGAGCAAACGATGATGATTGCTCGGATCAGCGTCTGATTGACACCGCGCACAGATTGAACCGGTAAAAGAGCTTCTGTTCAGTCCTCTGAAACAGCTTCTTGCTCTACTGAAAGATGCACTGAAAAACACACAGGTAGACAGACAGACAGACACCGGTTGCTGGTGTTGCTTGTGACGACGTCGTGTCAACATATCAATTGTGTTTGTTTTATTTATAGCCCTGAACACGTAGGATTCAATCAATCGAAAACGAAAAAGACATACCTTCCCTAGGTAGTATTTGCATGCGACCGATTGAGGATAACGAGCGAAACACGCACTACAAAAGGGGGAGGGAGAAGAGGAGGAGGAGGAGGAGGAGGTCACAGACAAAGATAGAATGGCGCTGGTGCACAGGACAGCACACTCACACACCGAAACATCATAATCGCAGACACGAACTGGGGATGAGACAAACGTTGGCGATAATTGATCAATCCGCTGACAGACAACAGACTGCAGATCATTGACTGCTGTTGTTCTCTCTGGGCGATACTGATTGTCAATTGACTGGAGGACTGACTCAACTCTACATTGGCCGGCGCAAGTGTGGCACCAGAGCAGTGGCGCTCACGAGTCGGACCACAAAGAACGAGTCCTCTCTGCCCGAGTGAGC